AGCAACAACCACAAGTGAGTTAAAAAGCATCAAAGTCCCTAAACTTACTCTGTTGCTCTCAGTTGTGTTAACATCTATTTCCTACAGTGTTGCCCTACGTGGGTACAGTTAACTGCTAACCATATTAGAGGCATAGTTCTGAAATTGGAAGGTCTTCAGACTTCATAGCATTCACCTTACAATTTGAAGTTGTAAAATATAATAAGCACACACACACGTAGACACACACATACATACACACATCTGTTTAACCCCTGTCTTCCACAGTACACATGAAAATAAAGGCCAAGGATGCTCAGTACCCACTACATTGTAAATAAATCTTGTTTTTACTAGTGTATGTGAGCAGTGAATAAATATTAATGCCCCAAATCACAATGTAAACTATCAGAGACAGTTATTTCTAATGAGAAAGCCTTCTTGTTGTAACACCTACCAGGCTCTTGCTGAGATGGCTATGGCTACACAGAATATTGTGCCCTTCTCCAGGATTCATTGAGATAATAGATATCTAGAACTCTCTGATATCTGCTCATGTGTCTCTTAAAGACCTTCTTCCTCTTGCTGGATACCAGAAATTGTGGGGCTTTGCACTTTCTTTTCCCTATTTTTGGGAAAGAACACAGAGTTTCTGCTTTGACATCTTCCTGCCCATTGTGGAGTCCTTCTAGCCCCTCACTGGACCAGGCCTATGTCACATTAGCTACTTTCAAGGTCTAATTTTTTTAACCAGCCTTCTAATTTCTGTGCCTTCCCCTCATCTGCAGAACCTCTTTTTCACTTGGGAGCAGAATGAACACTCATCTCCTGGTTAAGTTCTTCCTCAGATTCTTTTTAATTTTCCCTCTCCTTTGCCAACTCACAAGCGAGGGATTTAACTTACAATTTATGTAGTTATTTTCTATTTTCTAAAGCAGGGTCTGCTGATGTTTGAATGGAGGAAGATGTGAAAGGATACACAAAAGTTTTGGGGGAAATAATTCATGGTTAATCTCTCAAAAATATCATCTTCCCCATTATGCAAAAGAGGGTCCAGTTTCAAGAGAATGACATTATCTGTGGTTATCCATTTTCCAGTCATTCACCACAGGTTGCCACTTCATTACTGGTTCTAGGAAGCAAGAATCAGGCCACTAGGGAAGGAGAACAGAAGGTTTGCATAATGAGTGAGTCTCCAAGGATGCCTGTCTTACTGCTGTCATAAAGTTTCTCACAAGCAGTTGAGGCTCTGATAAAGTAAATACGTGTCATGTTATTTAGGAGGGATGGCAGGCCGAGAGCCACCGAGCAAGCAACAAGCTGTCCTGATGTGGTAAGCTCTCGTGCCATCTTTGAGTGATACAGGTCTCATATTAAGTGCTGTACAGTGAGAGTGCCTTCTGTCATTCAGTGACATGATTTCAGACAAGGACAGTAGAATGTCTCTGTGGTCAGCTAGAGATGGTTATAACAGATATCACCTGTCTTAATAACCCAAACTTCATCTGCTAAGCTATGACGAATGAGATTTTATGCTTTTTCACCAGGCTGCCAGACAGGGCTCAGGTAACCAGAATATATGTAAAATCTCATGCTCTATTGCATGATAGTTGGTGTTTGCAAGGAAAGGTAAGTTTCTTAAAGTTTTTTAAAAATAGCATTTGTTCCTTCACAGCAAGAGAATATTGCAAGTTTGTGCAAAGCTTTATATTGTCATGCTTAACCACTGTGACTTTTACAAGAGCATGCTAGCTGGAGCCCAGCAAATTACTGAGAAAGCACTATGAAGATGTCATTAAGTGTTGCCTGCTGCTTTGTAATCTTCAGAAGTTACAGGAAAACACAGCTTCATATGTCATCATAGATTCATTTGGCCATACTAACAGTCTGAGGTGCCACTCTTAATAACAGGGCGTATTAGCCAAATTCTTTAGTCTTTGTATAGAATATTTACCTATCAGGTGAATCTCTACTTCATCACTAGCAGGGATTTTCAACAGCTAACAGAACTGGTATGAATGTACCTATTAGGGGAATGGAACCAAATGTTTCAGCTTCCTAATTGCAGCCTAATTAAAGACACCTGTCAGTGGCATCTTGGAATGCACAGACTATGAGTTTCCAGGTGCAGAGATGACTTTTTTTTTTTACTAGTACAAGTCTGCAGTACACTATGACTGCACTCATCATGGGTACATGTACTTAACACATCCAAATTCCTTTTTCCTTCCCTTTCCTACTGCAAGTGACTTGCTCTTGGTGGAAGCAGGCAGCAAGCACTTGCCGGTGGTTGGCTTTTAGGGATGTGATGAGTTCAGAATGGAAAGACAAGCTTGGGCATTTAAAAGGAATAAAATGTTAAAGAACTCGAGTTTCTGAGAATGGAAATATAGCACAGTTTTTATTGGTCAGCGAAACAAATCAGTTGTTTCTTACCCAATGCTTGAGCAGGATAAGTGTACTTTTACTTATAATCTTGATTTCTAGGACAGATAGCTTAATTGAGAATTTTAATGACTTCATTTCTCTCTCTCTCTTCCCTACCTCCCTTTCTGCCTTTTCCCCTCCCTTCCTCCATTTCTTTCTCTTTCTCTCCCTTTCTTTTTCCCTCTCTTCCTTCCTTCCTTTCATCATGTATTCTCACTGAGAAATGGGATGGGGAGAATCTACACAATGTATGTTAACTGCAATCTCAAGGCTTCTAAACTGTGACTCTAACTCAAGATGCAAGTTTTTCTATCTATGGTCTTATAGGAGGAAATTAATATTCTTCTGTAATAGAACATGTCATGCTTTATGTTGGAAAATTTTAGACTTGAGAGAGTGAGAGAAGAGGCCTCATGCATTTGTATTGTGCATTTGTGATTGGTTCATTGTCTAGCGCTTGGATTGAGGGGTGTAAGTGCTACACCAACATAGGGGTGGAGCCAGGATGTGATGTATTGGCAGGAAGAAGATGTGTCTCGTTCTTTTGTTGGTTTATGCCCTGCTGTTTGCAGCTGCCATGAACTGCAGCCCAGCCATGCCACCCTGCCTTGGAGCTAACTGAGTATGGACTGAAACCTCCAAAAACTATAAGAAATAAACCTTTCCTTTCCCAACTTTGGACATCAGGTATTTTGTCCCAGCAACTAATAAAAAGTAACTAAGACAGAACAGTTAGAAAAAAAGCTTGTTTGAATTAATGAAAAATTTACAATATAATCATTTTATAAGAATAGTAGGAGCTCTCTTATTCAATGTAATGGAGCTGGTATTTGGTTTTGAGGAAGAGGAAACAATTTTAAAATGAAATGACATAAAACATCAATTTAAACACACCATTGTACAGTTCTTCCAGTATTTTAAATGTATAGACAACATGTACTGTTACTCTGGTTAGAGTTCTCTTCATCTTTTTGAATAAACCAAATCTATAATGTATTGATTACATTTCCAGATTTATCTTTGACTGTGGAATGAGAATTTAGTAACAAGAATTCAGAATGTTAGAATTTTACATGTTTTGCCAACCTTAGAACTCTCATAAATTACTTATTTTGAGTTGTCATTATCAGATTTTTTGGTAAGCACTTGATTTTATTTTCTGAACAAAGAGAACTGATACTTATCCTTCATCAGTTTATATCATAATTATCATAAATCTATAATCATGAGCACAACTGGCATACACAGAGGTGAACATAAACCCAGTGATTTTGGTGAGCACATACCTCAGTTAGAAGGGCACACGTTGCTGGGTATGCTGAGAGGATATCTGCCAGGGGCAATCCCTATAGAAAGGGCAGGTGTTTCCCTATGGGAAGGGCAGGTGTGAGCATCTGTTACACCAGACTGGAGAACAATGTCTGATCTGAGAGTAGGTTAACAGACTTCTAATTAAGAAAGTTTCTACTAACAATACATCTTAATTAAAAGTTACATAGATAGTAACTCTTAACATTTTTTTGCAAAATGTTTTCCAGCACAAGTCCTGCGGAATTTACCTTAATGAATAACCAAAGCTCACTTATAATCAGCAGAATCTGTCTGCACACATAATTGGTGTTCTAAAGTGCTTTTCCCCAGCAATCTAGTTTACACTGTGATACTGTAATTGGTTTGTTCATCAGGCTGTTTTTTTCTGAGATGGAAAGTGATAATGTTTTGCTCTACTCCTCACTGAGCTATCACAGTTTTTAAATTAATGATTTGGAGATTTAATGAACACTTTTGCTTAGAGATGATAGAGTTCGTACATACCTCTATCAATATTTTCAGTTAAAATTTCTTTTTTTAAAATACTAGTCACAGTAAAACATGACATTGCAATGACAGTTTAATGAAGAAAATAAATAAATATTGTTCCTACCATATAGATTTGGAAAATTTTAGACCTGAGAGTATGAGAGAACTCTGTGTGTGTCTGTGTGTGTGTGTGTGTGTGTGTGTGCGCGCGCGTGTGTTTATATACAAAGAATCTGAGAGAGACGTAAAGAAGCAAAGAAAGGTACAGACAAAGAGAAACAGATGATAAGCAGAAAGAAAATAAGACATGGAGAGAAAGTTTCAGATTTTATATATATATATATATATATATATATATATATATATATATTTTGTATATGTAGCTGTGTATGTTCACATATACACAGAGAAAGAAAGACAAAGACAGAGACAGAGAAATAGAAAACCAGAGGTAAAAAGAGGAAAATAAGAAATAGAATATACAGAGAAGAAGAAGCCAACATAAGTAGAAACAGTACAATTGATGAGAAAGAAGATGACTTTCCTGATCAGTCTTGCTCAGGTAGCTTCATATCTGCCCTCTTCAAAACTGTAGGATGCATAGGTGTGGAACCCAAAGGTCTTGGGGAGACCACATCCCTGACTGGAACAGGGAACAGCCCAGGCCCTTCAGCAGACACATACAGTAGGAATAGGTCATGTCCTAGGCATTAATTTGGGGGCTATGCATCACTTCCCTTGTGTGTTAAATGTCATTTTTGACTCTGAATACATTTAAAATCTTTTGACTGCAGAAAGGTACTGAAGGAAATCTCCATTGAAGGACTAAATCCAAATGAAACTGTCCAGGCCAACTTGGAAGCCCAACTCTTATCCAAGCTGGACCATCCAGCCATTGTCAAGTTCTACGCAAGCTTTGTGGAACAAGATAGTTTCTGCATTATCACAGAGTACTGTGAGGTAAGTACTTGAGGAATGACTCCTGTTTTCTCTTGGAAAACTTATTAAAGGTCTGCTGTGCTGGGTGGGGTGGTACATACTTATAACCTCAGCTACTCTGGAGACAGAGGTAAGGAGGATCAAAAGTTCAAGTCCGGTTTGGGCAACAGAGAGTTGTGTCTCAGAACAAAAGACTGAAGATGAAGCTCAATGGTACAGCATTGCCACGCTCAGGTGTCAGTTCCTAGAGCCACAAAAATGAAAGTATAAAATCTGTTGCATAGTATAAAAAGCCTTATATAAAAAGATGTCTCAAAAGTTCAATTACCAAGCCACAAATTAAACCTTAAAGACCTGGGATTGCATGTCTTGCAGCTAGGAATGATCATCTCTCTGTAACTGACAAAACTAATTTTTATTAGTTTTATCCCCTTGGCAAACTCAGTCAAACTGAATATATTTTAAGAAGAAGTTTCTACATAAGAATGTCCAAACTCCCTACAGTAGTCTAAAGATTAGATGGACATTTAAGTACCCTAATAGTGGCTACAAAGAGCAGAGTTATGACTTTTAAGTTTTGGATTATAGTTTTATGTTTTATTTTCCCTAGTGGAAATTTGAAAATAAAAGTATGGTTTGTTTTCCTTACAGAAACTCTAATTTATAAGTTATGACTCCAAGTATTTGCAGTTTTCTCTCCTGCTCTCTGTTTTTTTCAAGTAAGAACTTTGTATGTCACTGAACTCCAACTGAGCATGAAGCTGTTTTGAAAGATGCAAGAGGGGACAATGTAGACTTGTAGGATAGTTTTGTGTATTTCCTCCTGAGAGGCAGGTAGAGGGAGACAACAGGTTGAGGTCAGACAAAGAATACGTGAAGATGACTTTCTCAAAAAATGTCTCCTAGAACATTCTGGAAAGCAGAGTTATCCAGATACTCCTTGGGGGAATTTGGAGGTATTTAGAATAAATGCAGTCAGTTTATCACTTGGGTCTTTCTGGGACTCTAAAGAAATTATGTTAAAAAAGGAGTCATTCTTCAAGGTAGCATGCAGGATTGTTTGTGTCAAAAACTTTGGATACTGGATACAACTCAAGGATCTTGTAAGTTTGAGAGGCAGGAAAGAAAAGACATGGGGAGTAGAATAAAAACAATGCTCAGAAGTAGAGACAGCACTAAATCTGACCTTGCTTGGTATGTACATTAGCTGTGTATCAGCCACCATGAAACCAGCAGCTAAGTTTATCTGAATGAGTTTGAAATATTCCAAATCTTGACAATTCCCTGTTCGAGCAGCCTACTGAGCTCAGTTTTACTGTCTTACTTGATTCAGATCCTGCCTCTCCTTTGCTTAGAGGAAAGTGGGGAGTAGGGGAAGAAAGATCTAGGTCACCTGAATATCTATCTTTCTTTCATCCAATGGGTTGTTGAGAACATCAATAAGATGATGAGATGTGTAGAGTCGTGGCACTGAACAACTGCTCTGGCAAATGTTTCACTAGTCCATGTAAAACTACAGATATTTGCATATATAGCTGGTATGTGATCCACCTGCTATAATTTAATCATTTTTCTTCTTTGGTCCCTTACATTAATCAACTGTCTTATTTCAGAAATAACTGACCCCTGCTGTTTATGACAACTGCTACTTTTACTGTTGCTTTGGCATATCAACATTTTCAGATTGTTCCTTAATCTTAAAATAGTTTAAACTCCAGTTGCTGAAGAGACCTTTCTGTGGTAATGGAAATGGTGTATACTGTGCTATCTAATTCAGTAACGGCTAGTCACATGTAACATTTTAGCCCTGGAAGTTTGGTTAGTACATCCAGAGATGGATATTAAATTTTATTTAATATTAATTTAAATTTAAATAATGCTATGTAGCTAGTGGCTACCATGTTGGACAGGTCTATATGATATACTATGACTTTATTTCCTTGTGTTAATTTTTATATTCTTTGTTTGACTGTCTACTTTTTTTTTTTTTTTATTGGTACTAGGGATTGAACTCACGACTGCCTGCTTGCAAGGCAGGCGCTTATGCCGCTGAGCTAAATCTTCAGCCCTATTTTTATATTCTTAAATTTTAATGTAGTCTTGAACTTCCAGACAATTACAAGAATAGTAATGAACTCTCATGTACACTTTATCCAGAATCCTTGGTCCAATTGTTATATTTTTCCTTATTTATATTTTCCATATTCACTTTTATCTTATCTAACTGGTTCTTCTACCTGCCTAAATTCTACCTGCCTAATTTTCTTCCTGAGCCATTTAAGAATCATTTAGTTATAGTTTGGACCTTGAATGTCCCCCCAAAGGCCCAGGTGGTTGCTGGTCTGTGATGCAACAGGGAGGAGGTAGAAACCTTGGGAGGCACGACCTGCTATCAGGACTTTGGGCCATTGGGGTGTGCTCTCATGGGTATTGGGATACAGGTCTCCTCCCTTTTACCATGTCCTCCCAACCATGACGTTCTACTTGCTGTAGGCTCAAAAGCAAGGAACGCAGTTGATCATGGACTGAAATCTCTGAAACTTTAAAACATTGTAACCTGTGATTCTTTCAAGTTGATTTTTTGAGGCATTTTGGCACTGTAGTGGAAAGCTATCATAAAGTCATAAACATGTGGCCACTTTGTCCCAAATACCACAGTATCTTCTAAGGTCAAAGACTTTCTCTTAATATAAATACAGTACAATGATAAAAACTCAGGATATTAACACTGATATAATGTGAGTACGTAAGCTGGTGATATTGAAAATGAGGCCACCATTCTTTCAAAATTGCGACACATATTCAATGCAACCCCAATGAAAATACCATCAACATACCTCATAGACCTAGAGAAATCACTCCTAAAATTCATCTGGAACCAGAAAAGACCTAGAATAGCAAAGGCAAACTCTAAGCAGCAAAGGCAAGGCAGGATGTATCACAATCCCTGACTTGAAGTTATACTACAAAGCTACTGTAATAAAATAAACATGGAATAAAAACAGATCTGAAGATCAATAGAATAGACCAGAAGATACAACCACAACTACCAACACACTCAACCACCTTGTCTTTGATAAAGGGGCCAAACATGTTCACTGGAAAAACGACAGTCTTTTGTCGTTTGAGATGTTTACTAATAAATGGGCGCAACTTGAGACCATACTGATAAGCGAAATAAATGAAACTCACATGTATAAATACCGTATAGTCTCCCTATAAGAAATAGTAAGAGTACATAAGAGTTTATGGTAATCATGATTCCCTGTTACACTGTTTTGAAGCCTTATAATGATCGCATTCATTAGTTGGAATGGGTTTGTCCTGGTTTTTTTATTTTATTATCTGTGATGGTATGAACAGCTAATTTGAGGGAAACAAGTCATTATAAAAGCCAGTACTGATATATTATCATCTTACTCTGAAGTCCTACCATGCTGTTGCTCTTCTGTTTCCATTGGCTCTATCATGTTGTACCTTATTGGATTGTATTACATGTGAAAGTATAAACAAACTTTCTATGGAAAATGAGATAATATAGTAGCCATTGTTTGTTTTCTGTTATTTGGTTGTGAAAGCCCTGTAATACACTCATTCTCTTGAATGTTTTTGTACTATTATGCTATGTTTGATACTATTGTAAATGAAGTTGATACTCAACTATTTCAAAGAAAGAGATATTATAGATACTGTTAATTACGAGTTGTCTTCTGGTGAAATACTGTGTTGCTTACATTGTTATGTTCTGATCTGCTTTATTATGTCCTGTTTTGTCTTAATCTCTTTAAAATAAAAAAAATAAAAATAATAAAGAAGAAAGTGAGGCCACCAACTAGTAGCATGAGTATCACTTGGGAAGATGCTAGAAATACAAAATTCTTGGCCTGCAGCCTCACCATAGAGAATCAGAAATTCTGGAGATGGCTTTCAGCTATCTGTTTTGTTAAGTCTACCTGGTGAATCAGAAACAACCTGGAGTTTGAGAACCATCCATGTAATTCTCAGTCTATATTCAAATTCATCCTCTTGGTCCTTAGAAAGGAAATCTCTATAAAAATGTTTTATGTAGCACCAGATGCGTCAGGGGTCAGTTGCATTAATTTTTAAATGGTGCTGGTTTCCACGGACTGAACTTCTTTCCCAAGAGGCAACATTGCCGTGGTGATGACTGTGTGGCTGCACGGGAGGACAGTCTAGAGGCTTCCAGTTCTCTTTGCACCCCTTAGGAACTTCCAGTTCCTAAGGAAGGATGTGTGCAGGTTGCCCTGTTCTTGTTAAAAGATGTATTTTTCTTCTTCACACACAAATACACTCTTAACTCACACAGACTTGCTTTGTTATCCTTTTTTTTTTTTTTTTTTTTTTTTTGCAGAGGTAAACTAGTAATGTAGCAAATGCAGGTGAAGTGGCTGATGTCTTTATTGCAGAGATCCCTCTTCTGTAATAAGCCCTGTCAAGACTGATGTACAGTCACTGTGGTGGCACATGCCTGAAATCCCAGCACCTCATAAACTGAGGCAAGGAGCTTCATGAGTTTGAGGCTAGCCAGGACTCTATTGTATGTTCAAAGCCAACCTGAAATACACAGTGAGACTCCCTCTTTCTAAAAAAGAAAGAAGACTGACATATAAAAATGCATTCATGAGTCCTTGCTGTCTACTACCTAACCCTCTGGACACGTCACCTCAGATCATGTGTGTAAGGAAGCAAACAACCAAATTCTCCCAACTTACCAAGATTTAATAAAATCATTGTTGGCTTATAATTTCAAAACTACCAAAATGGCAGCATGTTTCAAATAGTGGTTTCCATACCAGGAAAAAATGGAAATGCTGTCTATGTTCCTTCCTTATTTCCTTCCTTCCTTCATACTTTCCTCCCTTTCACCTTCACTTAGCCATCTCCTGTGCCAAGGCCCTTCCTCTTGGCTCCACATCTTCAAATCCCATCCAGCTTCTTAGGTTCAGTTTAAATTCCCTAATCAAAGGTTCCCATAACCTCCTGGGAGAAATCTCTCCCCA